CCCCGCCCGCCCGACTAACACAGACGACTAAACCCAACCGGATCTATAAGTTGCCACATTATCAAACACTGACACCAACATTGAGGCTCGCCGAACGCCTGCAGAACACCTGCCTGTATCCTCCTGTCGGTCGCACACACAGTTTAAAGTGCAGAGCTGTGATCAACTGTGTGTAGGTCGGAACATGTAGTGTTTGTTAAATCTGCACAACATCGTTGAAATGTTTGATTCCCCGGCTGATGGTTTTTTTTCCCCCCATATATCTGGAAACACCCATATAAAATATAATTAAGAAACAAACAAAAAAAAAAGATAAAATCTAAAATACATATCCAATCACAGTGCAATAAATTCTGAGAAGATTCATCCAAACTGATTTCAGCATCTACTCAAACTGTGTGTGTGTGTTTCACATTGAGCTGAGATCAGTTGTACAACCAGGGACCGATCACTGTCCTCATGTTACGCCGTTAGCTCCCTGTGATGACTGAACCGAAACAAGGAGACTGTGAAAGCAGAGCAAAATGGACCTGTGTGAACAAATACTGACAGCTAGCCGTTACTTCATCGATGCACGTTAAGAGTTACATCAACGTGGTCCATCTTTTTAACTGCATTTGTAATAAGGCTAATTTTCTCTCAGAGTTTTTTTTTTTTTCTCTTTTTGCACAGATTTGAAAGCGTGTAACAGGAATCCAGACACGTCTGATTTTTGTGATCAGTGCTGAGAAAAAGCAGCGGATTCAGCTACAGAAAACAGTCCATACGTGAGCCGTGGAGGGTCGGATAGATGGATGAAAAACGGGATCGGTGCAAGTCGGGAATGTTTTCAATGTGAGGCTGTTTATCGCACCGTGGGCTTCGCTTCTCTTCAGGCGTGTTCGGTTTTCTCTTCCGTCTTTATTACGGTGAGACAGACACTAGGATCAGCCGTGTCCCCGGTAGATTGCTGGCTTCAGTGTCAGAAAGTGATTTTATGACCTGGGCTGCAAGCACACAATTTCCCACTTTGTATGGAGAGACGAGTGTAGTGTTTTGAAACCAGAGTGTTTTTTGTTGTGACTGCTTTCAAATGAGTAAAATTAGCTTTAAAGGGTAACTCCTACGATAGCCTGTATTTTTCTTTTCGTCGACAAATTCCCCGAAAAAGACCAAAACAAACATTAAATTGATTTGAGTGTGTATCCAAACTCCCTGATATCTTATTTCTCTGTTCCATTACTGCCCAAAAACACATCAGTGACCCACACAGTTACGCTGCGCTCCTTTTTATTTTCCTATTTATTCCGACTCAAACCCACGTACACCTTCCTGCTGCCCCGAGCTACTCACTAGAGCACCAAATGTGCGTTAATGTGCTGCTGAAAAAAGTCAAACAAATCAACAAATTCACCGTTTGTTCCTTTTTCGAGTAACATTTGCTGGTTTTGGTCTTTTTGGTGAGATTTGTAACAAAAACATAAAACACTGTCATTTAAAGCTTCTGTGAAAGTAAGCTTGGCCGTGTCACTGTCAAATGCATTATGTGAAGTCAGACAAAGTGCTGTTGGGTTGTCTGTCCTCTTCCCAACTGCACCACTTTAGAACTCAAACTGACCCATGAGTTGACATAAAGCCACAGAAATGACCAGAGCTGGATGCAGCCAGGCTTTTTTGCTATCAACAGGTAGAGATACGTGGGTTTGTTTGAAGCACATTGAGGCCTTTAAGATTCTGCAATGAAGCCAGCAAATAAACCAGCAAGTCCAATTAGGGATCGACTGATTATCAGGGCTATCATTGGTACGGTTATGTTTTTAAACAGATTCCCAATTGAATAAGTTAATTTAAAATGCTCTACTTTGGTTGTGATGCTTTATCAGCAGTCACCCCTCTGTTGTCTGACGCTTATTTTAAATAAAAATACTTAAATAAATAAAGGCATTTCACTGAAGTTTTCTCCTTGCTAACTAATAATTGGTATCAGCCCTGAAAATGACACATCAGTCGACCCCTAATTTTAACGTCTCTTCCTCTTATTGGGTGATGTTTGTTCCTCTAACTGGACTGTCCACTGCAACAGACAGCTCCGGTCCCATAAGTGCTCACTAACACATCTTTCTCTTCTCTGGTGGCCCTTTTTTTTTTTTAAACTCGTAGTTTTCCTCTCTGCTCAAACATGCAGACGCCTTCAGAAGGAAACAGTTTTTGTACTGTTTAGTGCTACAGGCCCAGAAGACTCGTACAGCATGATTCAAAGCCAAACGCGAACACAATGAGAGAGCGTGGATTTACCTCTGACAGACAAGTATGCAACGTCTCCAGGAAATACTCAGCCTCGCACGATGCAGAAAAGGTTTGCTGGTCTGCTGGCTGCTTCGTTTAAAGTCACTGAGGATGTTGGTCAGCGGCCAGAATTTTGGGGGATTTGAGCCAAGGTGAAGGTGACCAAAGGGTCTCGCGGGTCTCTTTCCAGTGACCCGATGCTTTTAAACTTCCCCCCCGCAACCTTTAGAAATAAGATCATTTCCTCCAGCAGCAATCTTGGTCAAGGTGAGCTCCCGTCACACGCGGCGATTCGAATCCACACCGCCGGGTTCGGAGGATGAAAACGTGGGAGAGGTCACAGGAGGAGGACGGTCCTCTCCGAACTGGAAGCGTAATGGTAGACTTGGTAGACTTCTGCTCTCAGTGCACTTCATGGTGGCCGTGGTCCGTCGGCCAAGACAGCCAGGGTGTTTTTAAAGTTAATGACCTTGTAGTGGGGGGAGGAGGGGGTGGGGTTTGGAGATGAACTAGAGTCCAAAAGTTTGTCCCTCTTTTCCGTCTCGCCTCCAAAAACCCCCGGACTCCCCCCTCCACCTCCCTCGCCTCGCCTCGCGGTTCTCTCATCCTCGCGTGAATCACAGCGTCTCTGTTGGAGGCACGAGAGTCGGCAAAAAGAAGCATCCGCTGCAACGTGATGAGAAGTGAAGGTGTGTGAGCGGAGGATGGAGGGGGAGGGCAGTGTTACCATATGTGGGATTCACAGTGAGTCATTTTGATGACGCCCACCCCTCCACCTAGCCGGCGGTAGTTCATCCCTCCGTACAACCTGTGGAGAGGGGACGAGTCAAACGGTGAGGACTGGAAGGTGCGAATGAAAAACATATTTCAAAGCGGACATAGTTCAAGAGCATGGCAGCAAATCAGAGACTGAGAAAGTGAATGTTAACTGCTGACTACATGCAGTTCAGCAGGCTTGTACGTATTAAGACAAATTAAATGTTTACAGAAAGGCCTGATGTGCTAATTAATCATAAATGTGAAATTTATGTTGAGGTGGTAACTTCTGAGTTTAGCACAGCACATGAAAGGAAATGTTGTCCATTCTAGGTCATAAATCTTAGTTAAATATGTCACATTTGTTATTCTGTGAAAGCAGGAAATTACAAAGGCTGCTTTAGATGCAAACCTTGAGTAAAGATTATCCCAACGAAGATGCATAAACATGCAGTTTTACAGGTAATATCAATTATTATTCCCCCCATAGTGGTTGATAATGACATCAAAGACACATGTGTAAAGCCTTACCGTGCACATTCATGTGTAAAACATGTTGCCAGAGGGAAGTTTCACTAATAGTGTGAAAGAAAAGCTGGAGCTTGTCTCTGCTTTTGCCTCACTGCTGTGCTTTGATTTGAAATTCGAAAGCTTCAAGGAGAAAAAGCAGCATTTTTTGGATGCCACTCAGAGTTGTTTGTATTGAACGACTTACTCAGAAGAGAAGCTGAGAAACACACTGAACTTTACATTCTGAAAACAATGCTGCATTGATCAGATGCTGCTATTTTCAAAATATCAGGTATCATCCGCTACTTCACCGTTTTATCGCAGGTTTCCGTACAAACTGACCATAGCTGGACTTTAAGTCGTCTGTGCACTTCTGGATTTGTGGCAACGCAGCAGAAAGTAAACCACCAAGTTGTATTAAATACACATACCACCTGTTTGCCAGCAGTAGAAGTTGCTCAGTGTCCTCCTGGATAATAATCTGAAGAGAATCTATCACTGATTCTATCATTTCAAATGTGCTTACAGTCATTTACCATGTTTTCCTATTGTACACAGGACACTTTTTGCATGAAGAGGGATTCCTCCGCTATTGGTTTTCTGGAGGTTTCTTTCACTGTTAAAGAGTTTTTGTTTCACCAGATGGAGTGTCGAAAAAGGTTTTGTAAGCAGCTCGAGGCCACTTTGTAAATTGTGGTATTGAGCTCTACAAATAAAAATGTCTTGTTTTGCTAATCCATCCATCCATTATCTATACACCGCTTAATCCTCACTAGGGTCACGGGGGGCTGGAGCCTATCTCAGCTGACTCAGGGTGAAGGCGGCAGACACCTGTTTTGCTAATCCTAAACATCAAAACGTATACATATGTTTTAAACTGCAAGTCGTCTCATGTTTAACAGAGTACGTGTAGGTGGTCTGATGGTTGGATCACATGGAAACAATTGTAATCCACCAGTCCTTGTTTAAACTCATGTCTCGCTGACTCATATTGCTTGAGTAAAGTTGACGATATAACATAACAACTGCAATAACATCCAGTTTGAATACTAGCTTCTTATGCAAATGCCCTGAGCAGCAGATATATTCCCGACGAATCCTGGAATGTTCTGAAGGCTCAGCATCGGCTTAAACAAATCCAAAGACAATCCGCTCCATTCTTTACCAAACGTCACTGTGTTGTCCACCTTGTCCAGGTTCTACGCTGTAACGATACTGCTGCAAAGTAGAATCTGAACAACTATTTGACCCTGTAACAGACACCGCGGTTGCCAAAATACATTAAAATGCTAATTGTCATTAGTGTATGTGACATTCAGCCACATACCAACTGTCTCTGCTTAAACTGATGGACAAATCAGCAGCCATGGCAGCAGGTTATATCAGCTTTAATTCTGGGAGTAATTTGATACCAGGCCAAAATCAGTGTGTCTGTTACGGGTTGAAATGTTCTCTGCAGCCAGCATCCGCACTTGTTTGCGAGGGAAGGCGTTCCAGTCTGTAAAACCACTCCAACAAATCCAACAGAGTGATATATCCTTCTCTGGCAAACAGCTAAATGTAAGCTTATATTGTGCCACCTACATATTCATGCAACATTTCAGCTGATGTAAGTATTTAACAGAAGCCTCTTTTACTGTATTTGTTTCACAGTTTCACATTATGCGATATGTAGTCGCCGTCATAGAGTGGCGCTTACCTCCATGTGTTGGCGTCAGGGTCGTAGACTTCTATAGTTTTGAGATACGTCGTTCCGTCAAAGCCTCCTACTGCCATCAACTGACCATTCACCACTGCCAAGCCCACCTACAGACACACATAATTACACCTCTGACTCACACGATGGATTATAAAACACCTTAATCACCATTATAGGAACAGAAAGTGACACACGTCATAAAACATAACAGGTTAAATGCAGCGTAGCTTTAGTCCCACGCACTCACCCCGCTCCGCCTCGATGTCATGGCCACCACAGGAGACCACTGGTTGGTCCTGGGGTTGTATCGCTCGGCGCTGCTCAGCTCCGTGGTGTCGTCTCTCCCTCCGACAGAGTAAATCATGTCCTGGTAGACCGCACAGCCCAGGTGCTTTCTCCTGGTTCCCATTGGGGACACGGTGTGCCAGCGGTTTTCTTGAGGATTGTAGCGTTCCACTGAGGAGGAGAGACTAAGTTGTGGTTAGACAGCTGAGGAAGTGGCCTTTATCAGTGACCTTCTGCTGCACTGTGAGTCAGATGAACTATTCCAACAAGCCTTTCTTTTTCGAACTAATTTCAAACATTTGGAATAAATGTTCACGCCCTGCATTGTGTCTCAAACACCAGATGACATTCAGCTCAGTGTCGGCATCTGTCAAGTCTCATAGATAACACTTTCTCATCCTTTCCCTCTGTGGTGAGTATTAACATCAAGACATAAAAATGTACAACTTCATGACACATTTCCTCTTGTTTCTAATTTACCATTGTTCGCTCAGTACCACACCTGTATTTAACGGGGACGTCCCATCAGAGCCTCCGACAGCATACAGGAATCCTCCCAGCACGGCCACAGCTACACCGAGCCGCCTGGTGCTCATGGAGGCCACACGAGTCCATTTGTTCTCCTTAGGATCATATCTGGAAGGTGACATTACATAAAGTTATCACACAGACCCGTAATGACATTAAAATAACTAATAGTATTGTAATTAGAAGAGTATTCTGTATGATACGATGCTCACAATCACATCATGAAGAAGTAAGTGTAAGAAGGTAGGACAGAACCTGGACTAACACAAAATGAGCTCTAATCATAGAACACATATGAAGCAGCTCATGTAGATGAACTCACCTGGTTTCAATTTGACTACGTCTGATATCAGAACATCTTCTGTCACTAGATTCAAAGTCATCTTTGGTTACACGCCAGTGTGAGCTGTCATGCTGCACTACCTGAGTGGAGACTAGAGACTTCTCTGTTATCTACAGTCGTCCTCAAATGTATTCATACCCTTCCATTACAGAAAAGACAAAAATTCACAATATTCATTCAAATAACTAGAAACTGAAAAAAGTAATAACAAATAAGAATTTGCTAAATTATAATTTTGTGGAATAAAACATTGCTTTTGAATTGTGGTTGAAAAGAATAATTAATTTTAAAAAAAATTTTAAAAAAAACTGTCCCAGACAAATTACAGCACTTTGCTGATGAGCAGTGGGACAAAATCAAAATACCTGTCAACAGGTACAGAAGTCTGACTAAAGTTACAGAAAACTCTTGATGGCAGTGATTGGCTCAAAGGGTTGTTCAACAAAATATTAGTTTACGGGTCCCATCATGCTTGTTTTTTCTTTGTTTGTTTTTTAATATTTCTGTTGAACCACAATTCAAAAACAATGTCATGATTTTCATAAATTTTTTATTTAGTTTTACTTTTGTCACTTATTTCAGTGACAGTTGTTTTTTTTCTTCTTTAATGTGAGGCTATGAATACATTTGAGGACGACTGTAGCTAGTTTTTACCGTAGCCTATATGTGAGGCATTTAGGAGTGTGTACGTCGTATAAGTGTTTTAGGTACAATTTTAGTTCTATTTTGCCTCAGTGAGATGCACTGAATTAAAGTGAAGAAGAATCTTATTGCAAGTCTTATTTTGAGGCAGTGATTTGTACATTAGCAGAAATGTGGCACAATAAGGTTGACAAGGCAGTGCTCTGTTTCAAAAAATTAGGACAAAATACTAGTGATCTCAACATTTATCCAAGTAACAGTGATCATCTTTTTGGCCATAATCATGCACACCTACTACAAGTTACAAAGTTGTAGGTTTCGGTTTGGTCTTTTTCATTAAGACTTTCTAGTATGAAGGAGTGGAAACAGGCTCAGGTTAGGATGTACACAATATACCTTTCTACAATGTTGAGACAGGAAACCCCATCCTGTCCTCCCACAGCATACAAATATCCACCAAGCACAGCGACGCCCACACTGGTACGACAAGTGCTAGTGGGGGCCACGTCACTGCTCCACTGGTTGGTCTTGGGATCATATCTGGACAGGTGAGACAAAGACTTTTTAGTGTCAGATATGTGAGTGTGATTCATTCAGACTAAGTAGAGAACTTGAACAGAAGCAGCTTGAGTGATAGCGGCAGACCTCTCCACAGAGTTGAGATATGACGAGCCGTCGTGACCGCCCACCGCATACAGTAAGTCATCGAGGACGCTGACACCGACTCCGCATCTCCGTTTACTCATCGACGCCACCATCCGCCACTCGTTGGTCTGTGGATCGTAGCGCTCCACACTGGAAATGGCGTCTCCGCTGCACCAACCACCAACTGCAGGAGGCATTTGGGAACATACAAAGGACAATAAACTTTATAAAAGAAGGACAAAATGGTGGAGGGTACAGATTAAATCATTTCCAACACAGGTTGTCGTGCCTGCAGAGTATGATCCATCCTCTGGAACAGTGAAAAAAAATTATGAGACACTGCAGGAAACAATAGTTTTCGTGCTTGAACCTACTGACCTGCAAAAAGGACCTCTCCACATCGTATAGGTTTTCTAGGTCGGGTTCTGGGCCCCTGCATCAACGGCCTCTCCTGTGGCAGCAGCAGGTAATTCTTAGCTTCGTCCACCAGGTCTCTGAAACAGATACGATGTCAACGATAAGTCAGTGACGTTGTCAATGCATCTCATCCATCCTCAACCATTACTTTCAGATCCAAAGAAAAAATATTAGAGTTAAGGACACCATAAAATTCTTGGACCCAGATTTGCACCTGCAGCAATTCTCCCCCCAAACACATCTTTCTCACAGCCACAGCACCCACCTGCACTCCTCGTCACTCTTGATGAGAGGATCTGAACCCACGGTTCCGACCAGGAACTTGGGGCTGAGCAGAGGCAGACGGACGTGTTGCAAAACCTGCACAAGTCAAAATGTATTTAAAGTGCATCAGCAGGTGAGAGAGTCTCAACACTTCATAGACTGACACAATGAAGACGATTGCATCATAATTCACAGGTAAAGTAATAGAATTAAAACAGGTCCAGATAAAAACATGGGAAGAACTGCACCAATACCAGCACACTGCAATGCGGCGATTGAACAGACAGAGGTGTTGAACGGCGGCTACAGCAAACTGTACAGTGCAGGACAAAGAAATCAGAGTTCTAAGTCTGGTTTCCAGAGAAGGATCTGTTCAGTACAAGTGCAGTGGCTCCAGTCGCAGTCATTTTTCTCCCCCTGTGCAACAAACCTGGGGTAGCTGAGGTCTGCGTTCCTGGATGCTGTATTTCACCCAGGCCATCACAGCGTTGAAAACCTGCTCCTCGCTCCGCACATTCAGCTCATCGCTGGAGATGATGTCAATCAGCTGGTTGGCAGGCAGCAGCATGAACTCCTCACTTTCCATTACCTGCGATAACAGAGAAGATCAGTCAGTAAAGGACAGAAAGGCGTTCAGGGTGTCGATTCATCGATCAGCAAACCAGCCTTCAAAACCGTTACTCAGCCTTGTAACAGTCAAACAGGCCGTTTTCTCCTTCTAGAAGCAATTTACGTTTCTTAATAGGCATGAAAATTAATTTTGTCATTGCAGAAGAAACACAAATGTACTCAATGACATAAATGACAGTCGTATCTTTTATAGTTTTGTGTAGCTGACAACATCAAAAGTAACTGAGGTGATCTGGTTTCAGGACTCTTGTATAGTGCAGTCTGGCTCACTGTAACTGATTAGCAGGACTGTTCAGAGAATTGCCTCCCTTGTGTTTTTCACAGAGGTGAACAATCCAAATCATCCGTTTGATTTTGTTTGCAGAAAAAGTAATGACATGACGTGTCCAGCAGATGTAGCTGTTTAACCTGTTGAGATCAGCTGTTAGCAGCTACTTTCAGTCCATGTTGCTCCACTCAATACAGAACGGTAGATGAGGAGCTCCGCTGAAGACGAAGGAACTGTCAGTTAATTTCAGATCGTGGCTGCAGACCAGCAACTCTCCACTGTGTTCATATAAATGCTAGCATTCAAGCTGTGTTGTAGTTTAAGTCACAATTAAATACTTTTAACTATAAAGTGCTTTCATACAAGCTCGCTATCATATAAACTCATAATATCACAGCACAAATCCTGCATTTAGAAACAGCACAAATAGAAGACAGAACTACTTTTTGTGAATTAATACCATAATTATCTATACTAGCTCTGTGCTGGAGGGAATGTTCTGTCGGTTTTCCTCACATCAATCTTGCAACAACTCCTCAGCACCTTACTGTTCTCATTAACTGTAAGTTATAACGTTTAGCTTTCTGTGCTTCGTCTGTGCTCACACAGATTAAAAGCTGATTGTAGTCTGAGAAAAATCTTTAGAGTTAATTAAATCCTTTCAAAAATTCTGGAAACACCTATGCTGCGTTTTTATTTTTCCTTTGGCTGATATTTCGACACAGCATCCCAGAAAAAAAATAGCAGGTCTGATCAATATCATTAGTAACGGCTGCATTCAACCAATGCTCCCTCAGCGGGACACTTATGGAATAGCGCCATCGTTATGTTTTGCCGTGAAAAGTCAAACGTCTTGACGTGCTTGAAAATTAAGAACCATACCGAACAATATGAATTTTTAAAAATAAAATTTAAAAAAAGGTATATATCGTTAGACAAGTGCTGCAAAGCAAGCAGGAAGACAAGGAAGATGTCAGTAAATCAAAAATGATAATGATGTAAGTACCTGTGGGATGGAACATGTAGGTTGTTCATTTACTTACTGCTTTAATTTAAACAGTATCGACACTCACACTGTGGTGACGACAAAAATAAGAAGAAACTAAAGTAAAGCAAAACTTGACTATGTATGATTACTTTAAATGCTTTATGGATGTCAACACGCCGTTAATACAGAGAGGTGCGACCCGGCATCTTCACTTTCCATCAGACAAGGGGCGTTCAAAAACAGTCACTCTAAGTGTCTATTTCTCTGTCAGTCAGTCTGTCAGCTTGTTTGTCACACAGTCACAATATGTCACACATGCCATAAACCTCTCACTTATCACCTGAGGCAGCGAAGACGAGACTCAGAAGCTAGACAACAAGGCTGGCAGTGTGTCAGCTGACGTGCAACCCGCTCAGCTGAACAGTCCGAAAACTGTTTCTCCTTCACGCTGACTCAGAGGCAGAACATTTTTTTACTGGCTGCTCCGAGTGTCTCGGTGAAAAATCTCAAAGTCATATCACTTCCTAACGGTTTTTATTCTTGGCATTTAACAAGCTCTACCCAGGACTGTGTCATCACTCACTGTGCGACAGACGGTCCCTGAAGGTGGAAGAATTCACAGAAGGAGCCGGTCTTTAAACGGAGCTAAGAAACCACATTGTACATTTGCCAGATCAGTCTTTTCTTTGGTGAAACTGAAAAATCTTGCTTGAAAAGACTGATGAAGCATAAAGCTCACCTTTGTTTTCCACTTATTGTGTTTAGAGTTGTTGCTTCTTGTGGCCTTTGGTCAAAAAACACCTGCTAACAACTGTGGTTCCAGAGGTTCTCCACCCTGTGGCTTCAGAGGAAATGATGACTCCACTGGTGTGGTGAACCACAAGAAACTGACAAGTGTAAGAAAAGGTGCCGTCTATGCTTTATCGGTAGCTATGTTATAGTTTTACATGAAGAAGCATGAACCATAATAGTTTGGTTTGCCCAGTATAACCTGGATTAACCGCCCACCTCTCAGCTCAGATGGGATGTCATGAGAACAGATAGTGCATGTAAATTAGTTTTTTTATGGTCTGTAATAAGTCAAAGTACCCCAGATACAGTAGAGGCTGGATATACTCAGATTTAAGGTGTGAGTTTCAGTTGTTAACTTCATTAGCAGCAATTCATCAAACGATCACTTGTCTGGAGCCAATTCTGAGGATCAGTATGGAGGTGTATTCTAAAGCATTGCTATCACCTTAAATTAAAGTGTTGTCTGCATACAGATTTAGATCTTTTGTGAAAGAAGGAGCGACTCTCTCCAACACCATTATACGTCAAATCAGTGTCATCCTTTAGTTAAATTTTTATTAATATTACATCAATAATTTAATCTCACCAGCAAACTAGCTTTTAACTAGGCCCTGCACAGGCTTGTGAAAAAACAGCAGTGTTCATATTAAGGTTGAACTATTATTAAGACGAACACGCAGCTCATAAACAATTTGAGGCAAAACCAAAGTTAAATGAAGAGAACAGAAATGTTTTCTGCTGCTTTAGAGAGAAGGGATACTTTAGAAACCCTGAATAAAAGTGATGGTTGCTATATGTTAGGTGATAATTAAATGTTCAGATATTGTTTATGAAGTTCGCAAGTCTCAGTTGTAGCTTTAACCCTTTATAGGGCGCTCCTAGAAACACTTGGAAAATGAACATTTCAACCCTAAGGTGTTGCTGAAGGATATTTCAAGATATTTTTTACTTTTGTGACTGAAAAAAAAAACTGTTGCAAATCAAGATGAATAAAGTTACCATATGTGGTAACTTGCTCGTCTATGGCTTTAAAAAAAAAAAAAGGCAATTTATAATAAAGAAAAGAAAAAATAACAGTTTAATTTGAGGTAATGATACTTACACAACCATTAACAAAGCATATAAAGTGCGTAGCAAGTTCATTTTTCTTGGGGTAGTGATATTGGCACTAATACAAAAACTAAATCACAGTGCACATGGTTCTTCAACCTCAAGGAGAGGCACAGGGCGGACATATGGAACGTCCAAGGAAGTTACCAAATATGGTCACTTGCCCCATAAAGGGTTAATGTTGCTAAGTTAAAGAGTGTTTATCTGTTTACAGGCTTCCACAACTGACCAGCACTAAAAGTGTTTTAACAGCCCAGTCCAACCTGCAGGAGACTGCAACATATTTTACCGCAATAGAGAAATAAACTGATGACAAGCACAGAAAGAAAACAACAAATGATAAGCTTAAAAAAAGACATTCTGACGAGGCTAACTCACCACTTCCACATGCAGCACCAAGCATCACAAACATACGGGAAAACCCTGGATATTTAATCAGCATATAGTTAAATGTAAGCATCAGATTGGACTCACCATCAGCAGGCAGTCAGTGTTAAACCACTCAGACTGGTATCAGAGCCAGAAGACACCTGATGCGACCATCTCTAATACAACTCATCTACAGTTCATACAGTGAACTGCTCAACTCCTGGGAGATAAAATATAATCACTGCTCAAATTAAGCAAGTCAGCTGTTACACTTGTACCTGCTGCAGCTCCAGACATCATGAATAGAGAGCAGATCCTGTCTGTCTTACTGTATTCTATAACAGCGGCGTGCTGCAGAGCTCTGAAACCTTTCAGAACGTGATGCAGTGACAGCTTCCCTCTTCTGCGCTGCACTAAACTACAGTCACATGTCTCCAACTAAAGTTTAGAATCATGAGTCAATAGACTGTCTGGTCTTTTTCCATGTTGACAACGCTTTGTTAGACGACAACAGTGAACAGGAATCACCCCAACAACTGTATTAGTTATCGTGTGCACACATCCTGAGGCTTGGAAAAGGGATACGCAAACAGAGCTGGAGACAGACGCAGAAAACAAACTGAACTGTGAGCGTGTGACAGAGTTTTCTGCTTATATTAAACTGCATGTAAACAGACGCGTGCTTCACTTCACATGCTTTCAATAAGGAGCAGCAAGTCGTAGATACACAGGATGCGTGTTATTGCTTGTTTTACGGCAGTAACCACATTCTTTTGAGTTTTCAAAACTTGTTTTTACAGACACACGAGAGCACAACAACAGCTAAGACATGGGAAATACAGCACTGGCAGCAGTGTAACAGGGCAGAAGGAAGGCTAATATCTCAGTGTTGTGCTGTCTTTGTATCAAAAACAACTACAGATGTATGATATTGGGTTTCTGGTAATGTCAGACCCATCAAAATATTCCAGCTCTCATGGGTCTGACTCGTAATAGTATTGTTATATTATTGTGCCATTTTTTTTATCATGTAGGCAGGTGAAGAATTAAAATACAAAACTTTTCAAATGTATACTTTCAGTTTTATTATTGTTATTGTCTCTGTCAGCTCTCCAGTAAACATTGACCTTAAAAGATTATTGTTATTATCATCATCATTATGATTAATTTTGTTATTATTGTTATTATTATCATTATTATTATTAGTTTGGGCGGACACCAATTTGTCATTTAAAAGCCTTCGTCCATCGATACCAATGATGATGTTTATGTCATCTTTGATCCCTAAAACTAGCATAACTCAAAGTCTAACAAATAAAACAAAATAAATAATAACAATAATAATAATAATAATGTATAAGTCTTAAGAAGTTGGCTTGCAGAGCTTGAAAAATTTCATGTAAACCTTTTACGCACTGTAATTACAAACCAATACCGTTTTCTGCGTCTTCGGTCTAAATGCACCTGTAACTTCTTTGTCATATTTTTATGCCCCTTAAAGTGGCAGGTTGTGCGTTTGTTCTTACCTCCTGAAAATTGTGTTGGGTGAACTTGTCTGCGATGCGGAGCAGCTCGCGGCAGGAGTGCGTGTCGGCGAAGGCCCTGATGCCCAGACAGTTGGACGGATCCAGCTGCCTCTTGAGGAACTCGCAGCAGGCCTCCTGGATCTCAGCCAGCTGGAGAAGACAAGCTGCAGGGAGCAGCGTCTGGACGTTGCCCTCCTCGACAGTCACCTGGGAGGGCACAGGTCACCGCATTAGACACATTTACGGCTTTTATGGTTTTGAGGTTAAGCAGCTACTGAGCAAGAGTTGTTGGTGTTTCTAATTTGAGGCACTGAAACCCCATGGCCCCTTCTCGGTTTCCATACAGTTTTTGAGAACACCCTACTGTAGTCAGAGTTGGTGCTGATGTCTATTCTTTGCATTTTTTTTTGACAGATCTTATTGTATTCTAAACATATGGTGTCTGGGAAGAGTTCTCCTGACTGCCACTTTTTTGGTACTTTTCAATTTCGTAAAACATTTCATATCAAAGTCTGAATAAAGTGAAATCAAGTTTTTCCTGCTGATGTTCAGTGTCATAAATGCAGATAATAATCTAAAACTTTCCGACTTGCTGTCTCTGACTTACAGCAAACATTTATAAAGCTCCCTGCCTTGTTAGCATTTGTTGCAAAGAAAACGACCCTGGTGACTGCAGGAGACCCTCAAATGAGAAATTAAGTCCTGCTCGGTGGTGTCGGTAGCTCATATTAACCTGGTTTTTAGTTTCAGTATCCATCTGCATGTTTACGATATGCAACCTAATGGAATGCTGCTATTCCTACCTGTGAGGTGTAGGCGAAGTCAATGAGCAGCTCCATGGCCCTCTCATCAATGTCGCGGATAACCACTTCAGTCTGCCGGCTCTCTGCCAGCTCTCCAGTAAACATCGCCCTGGAGAGACAGTGGAGAGGCAGTTTTGTTACAGCCAGCACCAAGTACTCCTGAGCTACGCTGTGAATAAAATGGCCAAAGCCATACCTGAAATAGGGGCTACAGGCAGACAGGATCACGCGATGAGCATAAATCTTCTTGGCGCCCACCACCAGCACCACGTCGCAGAGCTCCCGGTGTTTTCTTAGCAGGTTGATCACCTCCAGGGTCTGCCGTGGGTGTTTGTCTGAGACGTAGGGCATGCGTGCAGGCTGGGGGACCCCTTCAGGGAGCTTGTTGGGGTCCCCCAGAGTACAGCGGCTGGTGATGTCCATTCCAGTGGCGTCTTGACGTGCGCTGGTGGTCCTTGACATTAAACAGATGGGAAACAATGAAACGTACGTATATGCTTGGTTTTCATTTGACATCCTGACAACTCATTTTGTCCTGCCGTCAAAGTGCAACTTTACAGGTTTTTCAAAAGTTACGAAAAGGGAAGTAAAAATATGAATAAGGAAGTAAACTCCTGTGATACATCTCACCTAAAAACTTTGCTTCCTTGTTTTTATAGGTCCACATAAGGTAGGTTTAAGCAAAGTATTCTGGCTGTTGTCTGGTTCATTTTCCCCCTTTGAGTGACATGAATGAACACAGCCCTTTATTCCTGTTTTTTTTAGGCACAAACCTCCAGATTCAAAAATAATCGCACCTTTCCACTACAACCTGCATGGTTACAACTCACTTTCCAACAGTGAAACAGCTCCTTGTGGAAGTTAATCCATTAAGTTTGGAGACATCTACGTAAGAGGATGGGATTCAGAATGAACCGAAATGCTCTACTAGCTACATGTGCTGTAGCCTGGATGTGAGGCGTCGGGGAACATCAAATAAATTGTCTGAGCAGATGTTTGGCAAGTGAGGAGTTTAGCCTGTGCCCCAGTTAATAAACTCTGGTGAGAGGATCAACTTCTGATTAAAATGTTTTACAAAAATCAAAGTCCCTGTCAGTCTTTACATCCCAGTCAAATGAGGCTATTAAAAAGAACAACAACCATTAATCAGCATGCAAGGTTGATGAACGCACTGGAAACTCTCTCCAGTTTCCAGGAGACGGTGCATCAATCCCCCGCTGAAAGGCAACACTGGAAACTCATGCCATCACAGTTTGGTGTAACACGTGCTGCTAAAGTGGATCAACCTAGGCAAGTGGAAAATATCTATTTGAACTCAGCATAACAGTGTCTGTCACACTACACAAATGTTTTTGTTACGAAAAGGCTCTTAAAATCACCTGCGAGCTGGTGCTTTACAGACATATGAAGCAGGAATATTGCCGTTGCTCACATGGGAACTACACTCTGTGGTCAGCTGAAACAAATATAGTTTAATGACTGGATGTGGATACAGCAGCCAGTGTAAACTTATCCACAGCAGTGGGTGCTCCCCTCCATCTTTACAGATCTGTGGGCACCGGACCAGTCTGGTTCTGAGACAGGGATTCACTTCAGATCATGTTCTCAGAACCCGCCAAAAAACCCCTGACATTTCAACACGTCCACATGCGTATTTATCATTATGAATGGGACAAACGATAGCCTTCCCGCAAGTATGACCATTTTTATAACTCATATTGTTTCTAAAAAATATCGACTGCTTACACTTGTTTCTTTAAGTTTGGTCAGTTTTTGAAAATCTTAATATATTCTCCTCAACTTTACCTATAAAGCCAAGAATATATTTAGTGGTGAAATAATTGTGATATATACAATGAAATGCAATCCAGCACTGCTTCAGTAGACCTACATTCATGCCTGGCAGGTTGTAATATAACTCAGCTGTGATATTAAAGATCTATTTGAAGTACAATCCTGCAGCACACAGTATTTACCAGACAGAGAGGAGCTGATGAAAGACGTGATTTGCATTTCAGAAATTGCTGAAACCAGTGTTTTTTGAACCTTGAATCACACTGTGAATATAAAGTCTGGTTACCTTGACACTGCTGGCCATTTCATTACTTCTCTTGTGAGTCCTTCAGCATTGTGGAAGTGCTGTACTAAATTCTGTGAGTACCCTTTTAAAGGCTGTTGTGTTGGAAGGAGTCAGCAGAGAGGATTAGTTTGCAACCCGTTAGCAACAAGTGCCGCTGTGACAAACACTTCTGATTAAAATTTAACATTTTATTTCAACACAACAATTTGATATTTCAGGATATGTTGTCTTAAGTGACTAAAATATTCTCTTCCTGTTTTATTATCAAGGTTTCTATAAAGTGTCGTTGCAACAATTCATCGATTCACTGACTGAAAGAAAAGTAATCTGCTATGATTTTGATAATTGATTTTTAAGCAAAAATGACAAATACTTGCTGCTTATCTTTGAATTTCTAACAGAAAAGGTCATTTCATTGTGTTTAGGATTATTGTTTGACAACATCAGCAATCTTCTCATTACTTTTGATATTCTACAAACTGTACAGTTCAACAAAAAAACAGGCAAGACACCGACGCAGACTGTCCGAGAGTTACCTTCTGACTCCAACACCCACTTGTCGTGCACTCTTATCTTTACCGTTTGTTTGTTTTACATAACAAAGCCTGAATTCCACATTTGCATTTCACAGCACGCAGACTAAATATACAAGCTAGAGGGCACGTCGGGCCTCGTGGTTACTCTTTGCAAAACTGTCTGGGTAAATAATCGTTTTTTTGTTCCCCATCAAATCACATTGTCCATCTCTTTCTCCTGGCTGCCTGTCCGTTCTCTTTACCAGCACATGAAACACATGGACATCAAAATCCAATCAGCATTTAAATGTGGTCCATGCACCTGGCTGTGGTGGTTCCCCTCACTGTGAAGGCACTGCTCTATATTTAGTGTGTGTGCTTCCCAGAGTCCTGCTCTACATCAGCGCTCCACTGTGACATTCACGTTGACAAACAGACACTGACCATGGGATTAAATTTAAAAGCCCAGCAAGTCAGTAGAGCTAAAGCCAGGTCCTCCCAGTCCTTTGGGGGTTGGGAGGTGGGTGAATATGCTGGCAGGAACCCCCAATGACTGGCTTTGATCAAAAGGAAACTGTATCGCATGGATTTGTCTGCCTTGTAGACGAGCTTATATGGTGACGTACATGAATGGGTATCACCAAGTTCTGGGGAGTCTTTAGGTGGCATTTTCCAATGACGGGACTTTCCTCTGGGACTGGGGACCTTTGGAGGAGCTAACTGTGCTTCCAACACAAGGATTAGGGTCTAAGTCAAGTTCCAGGAAAACTATTTCAACCCCCAAAAAGTCCCAGTGTGGCGCGTGAAGCACTGAACACTTGTAGTTCATAAAGTACCCACGTCATCATTTTTCAACATTTGTAGATATATTTACACCTCATCTTTGATTCAATGTGCTTCAACACATCAACATGAGTTATAGAATAAAGCCAACAACAGATGGACACACAACAAAGTATAGTTGTAAGCAAAAACGTTTAAAACTCACTTTTTGTTATATGTCATGGGAATAATTTGTTCAACCTTTGCGGGTCTTTAGACTTCAGGGGAAATACAGGCAACCAAAAGTCTGAAGGAAACTTTTTGGTTCTTTGTGAGTAAAATTCAGTTACTTAAGCTCGAGTCTTATTCTGGAGCATTTTCAGTGCTAGAGAGGTTTTTTTTAAATGTCCTCAACATCCAGCATCTTCCCTGGTAGCACAGTTCAAAGTCGTTCTGATTAAGCGCTCCAGATAGCATCTGGAATGAAAGTCACAGATCACTGTCATTCTGCAAAAGGCTCACGAGAACACTCCTTCGTACTCTGATACCACACCTACCTGCGCATTGGCTTTGCGTCCATGCACTGAAGAACAATGTTTGGTCCCACACCTTCAAGGTAACCTAGAAAAGACAACAAAACCAATCAGACCTTTCCTTGTCACTCTGTCTTCACCACAGATTCAAGAGGCTGAGAAATGGTACATTAATGTAGCAGTGTTTACTAGAAAGCAATCAAAAGTATCTTCCTGTTCGTTTAAGACGATCTAGTTTTATGATCTACTGATGGAAAAGTAAACACCCTTTTATGAGGCCAGTCTCACGGCTTCTTCTTGGTTTATTCTACCCACACTAGGCTACATAATTTGATCCGGAACCATTTTCCTAAGAACACCGAGGTCCAACCTGCGCAATCTACTGCAATCAAATCATCACCCTGCAAAAGAAAAACCAGGGTGTTGTAAAATTTACGATGTTTTCTTTGTTGACACTGAGTCAAACAGGTCAGACTCAATTTGAGGCTATAATTAGCTGAAGCTTTACACTCCATTATATTGAAAGGAAATTGTGCAGTATAAGCGCCCTCATTAATATAATACAGTCTCATATAACACCAACATGACCTACTAAGCATCAAAATGACTGCAAGGTCACATCTATGCTTCTACGACACAGTCTGGACACAAACAATATACATCAGAAGCCACACAAATAAAATACATTTCATAATACAAGGTAATTAAATGGTGCCACAATATATTTCACACCAATACACTGGCATTTTGGAACTCCAATAAATAGGATATAGCTCTCTTGTCAGTGTGTAAATGGGTTAACTGAGTCTCTTTCAGGCATACACTCATTTCTATCGATCTGACGGCATCTAAATATGTCGACCGATCACGTTACTGTAAAAGCTGCAATGTCAAACTTATGATATCGGATCTAATAACATTTACATATCGCTTTCAACACATGATGTAAGTCTGAACTTCATGCTGTTGCATTAATGAACAGACATGCACAAGATCAAGATATGCTTTGAGTGGTGTAAAGCAACTTGTGGAAGTTTTTCTCCACATTTCAGCACTAATATTGGTCTATAAACATCACAAAGACATAGTGTGCATGCTACAATCATAGAACGGATTTCTTATTTACTTTGTCCAACAGTTTCACATCTATTATAAACTCAAATATCCACAAAAATACAACTTTACCGTGATGGAAACAGAGATCACAGGTCAGGTTAATGACACTTATCAGTAATTGATTAAACTAAGGTTTTGACGATACATTAACAGGAGGTGAATTCTCGTTTGTAGGAGTCTTAGACAGCAGTAAGTTTCATATGAGGATCTCAGAAGCAAGACAGCAGTAACTTCATTAATTACTCAGAAGTATCACAGACATGAGAAGGATCAATTGGGATCTAAAAGCCAGTCACACTGTACTTTTCTCCACATCAGACAGATGAGCTGTTACACAGATACTCGCTATAAGCTACAGTAAACCATTACACATACACAGCGGCTGTCCTGAGGTTGACTCATTACAGCTGTCAGGATATTTGTATTATGCTGTTGGTGAAGTCGTAGTTAGATTGCAATCACACATTGTCTTTTTTTCTCTGGCATCTTGATTTGCAGTTAAAATCAATGTAAATTTGATTCTGAGAACAGACAGTGGTTTGGAGAATCAGAATGTCACAGAATCCAGCAGTTGGCTGAACCACAGCTTTAGATAATGTTTGTCTACTGTCATCAGAGATCAGGGAAATCTACAGGGGTGAGAGGACAACAAATCGGTTACTGATGCACAGGACCAGCCAGACAGCTCAGCTTTATGTTAAAATACCTCCAGTGTTAGCTCTGTCAGTTCACAGCAGCACTCTGCGATTTATGAGTTTCTCGACACATTCTTCGCATGACTGACATGTACTGTAGCTTAGCTCACACCGGCTAACTGCTGCTTGTTAGCGATTTCAGATGCACAGTTAGCTAGCTAGTTGGCTAAAAAAAAAAATCCTAATTTTCAACGGTATGATCAGAAATAGGCTCCAGCGAGGTTTACCCATAGCTGTGGCAGAAACAAATGAGCTAAATAGAAAGATTTAGTGTATCCAAACCTCATTTTATTTGTAGAGATTTCACAAAAATGACGAAGTAACAGAAGCTAACAAGTAAACTTAGACCATTTCCCGAGCATGTCTGAGAATGCTAAGTGCTACAGCTAACACTGTTGTAGTGAACCCACAGGCAACTCCTACCACGATATAAATGTCACAGTGATTGGAAACAACAAAAAATAATGGATTACAACAATGAATAGAGATATTTATGAGTTTGCCGACACGTTCGACGTATCTGTGGCCGTTTGAGAGTCTCAGCATCAGGTCTGTAACCACGGACTGGCTCTTGTAAACTGTTTCTACGTTAATTAAGTTAGCACTGAACGGCGTGTCTAGACGGTGTTAACGGTGACAGCTACGCAACAAAGAAGCAGACACGTTAGAGAGGGGTTTTACCTTATATTTCCATCCCAACCGGAGAGAGAAGTCGCCCGGGTTGCTAATGTTTACAGTTTTAATCCGCTGGTTATCGCTGCTGCCTTTCTTCCTGCTGATCTGCGCATGTCAAATGCCAAGCACCTCTTCCGCTTTCAAAATAAAAGTTTAAGAGATTACGTCATTGAACAATGTAGTTCAATTATTCAGACTCTGCTGCGTCCACCAGCTTTATAGCCCTCGTAACCACATTTCCACATAATGTAAGAGACTGGAACTTGTGCCTCCTCCAACTAGTACAGATGCAGTTCATTCATATCTGTCCATTATGTTACACTATGTGATATTTGTGAGAAATTTTGTCACAATTTGTGTATGAACTTATGAGTTACAGCCAGAAATATGTTTTGTGAGGTCACATTCAGAAGTATCAAAAAATCCTCAAGGAGTTTAAGAGATATCACACTCACAACAGTGGGGTGGACAAGCTGATGTATGAAACCTGAAAACGTAATGCCTCTGGCCTGGTCTGTTATCATTGTGGAGGCAAAAAATATATAAATGGTACACCCAACCAACCATCCACATGATGCACCAAACCTTCTTCCATTGCTCCATGGTCCAGTTCAGACCAGTAGCTCTTCTGTGTGATCAGACCACACAGGCCACCTCCCCCTACTCTCTCCTGTTGCCAGTTAACTGTCCTTCCTTGGACCACTTTGGCAGGTACCAGCCACTGCCTACCAGGAACACCCTACAGGACCTGCTGTTCTGGAAATACTCTATGCTTTCCCAGATTTCCTGCTTCCAACACATCAACGTCAGGAACTGACCGCTCATTTGCTTCCTAATATATGTATATATATAAACCCTTGACAGATGACATGGTAAAGAGATACTCAGTATTATTTTCTTCAACTGTAAGTGGTTTTAATGTTGTTGCTGATCGGTGTAGATTAAATTAGAACCTCCTTAGCGAGTGACAGGTGGAACCTATCTTATTCAAACCCCTGGCATGTAGGGTCTGGTGTTCTCTGGTGTGCTTGGTGTCATCATGCCAGGAGCTAAAGTATTTCAAGGGCTTTCTAGGCCTCCAGGAAAGAAAGGGGGGGAAAAAGAGTGTAAGTGCCTTTAAGTTTAGCAAAGGATTTGGAAAGATTTTCAACTTGCAGAAATATATCTGGCAGGTAGAACGTTCAGCATTCAGCAGTTAGAGAACTTGTCACAATTCTTCCATGGATCTGTGCTGTCTCTGTGTCTTCTGTCTCTTCATGTAATTCCAGATTGACTCTATGATGCTGAGATCAGGGTTCTGTGGGGATAAGACCATCTGTTGCAGGATTTCATGTTCTTTTTGTGACTGGTGATAACTCTCCACCTCACTGATGTGCCAGCATGATGCAAAAGATTCTCAGGTGCCGCTGCTTGAGAGTTGGTCTATATGAATATTATCTTAATTGCATATATGTTCACATATTGAGTGAACCCAATATTTTGAGTCAAACCTTTTTTTAAAAAAAAAAAAAAATGTCTGTCAACCACATAAGTGACTCACCAACATTCTTTTTTTCTCACGCTAATAAAATGTACCTGTAACTGCAATAGTCTGCAACAAGTGTCAAAGTAACCTCCACACAGGTTTCCCAGCAGAACACTGTATTGTAATGAGATAATCAGTATTATTCACTTCACCTGTCAGTGGTTTAAATATCCCTACTGATGGGTGTATCTGAAGCATAAAAGCTTTGATATAATGTACTTCAACTAAAAGTTGTCATCATGCAGCAGAATGGTTCTTACTATAGGAAATTGCAAGAGTATAGTTGACGCAAAACAATGGAGTTTAATCTAATGCACTGTACTTTAACTGATCGTATTGTATGTTCCTGCAAAGCAACTTGTGCGATGTCGTATGAATGTTGTTCACTAAATACATGCTTGCTTAGATGCAGATGTGAAGGTGTGTTGAAGTAGCAGGTAAAAGAAAAAACTGGGCTAAGTACTCCAAAATTCTACCTGCATAAGTACAAACATTAGTAAAGGTACGTCTTGTGACCCCTGACACCTTCTTTGCAGCGACCAATTTCAAGAAACAAAGCCCAGTTTGACAAGAACAAAACTCTGGTGCACAAACTTCTGCCCCAAATATCGAAGATCCAATGTGGATGTCATCTATTCTCTGTATGCAGGTCATGCATGACTCCCAGTAGAATGTAATTTTTACTATTTGGGGGTAAATGTATACATCGTATTGCTTTTTTGTCTGTGCTTAACTGAAGTTACACTGAAAAATATCAGAACAAATGTTGTTTGTCTGATATGTGTTTGTCGCTGCAAGACAACAGTCCATATTTTCTGTTTAATATACTGCACATGCATGGCACATGTCAATGAGACAGAGGAACAGCAGACTTACTCCATCAATGTACCAGTCTGTGTTGGTTTTAATTTGCAGTATAACCCAATCCCAAATTTTCTAGTAGTCTTTAGTCAGGAACAAAAAACAGCTGATTTTCACTTTTGTAAATGCAAAAAACTGACATTTCCTCAGTTACATTCATTTAAAAAAAACAACAACAAAAAAACATTTCACTCAAAACCAAATCGATTTTACATCATTTTCCAGCAAAGTGCCTTGTCTCATTAAATCCTCCAAATAAATTAAATGCAAAAAAAATCCTAACACATATTAACAAAACTTTCATCTTACAAATATTAATATTTCACTTGACATTTTCAACTTATTCTCATCCGTGAATCCCTGTATGAGTGAATGAAATTAATTCAGTGCCTTAACAAGTGGATTCTTCAAAGTGTCTGCTCACACATTAGGCAGCAGTGATAATTCAGTGCTATTATTTTGCTAGATAGTTTATAAATGTAACCGATCCGATCCTCACAGGGTTCTTTAAATTAAAGAGTAATGATGTGCTCCTCATCCTCCCATCAAACAATCAGCTTCAGTTCTTCTTAGGCGACAGGCTGAAGCTCAGGCGTGGCTGACTGGCAGTTGTGTCAGTGAATGGGATATAAGGGGCTGAAGCAAGAGTGGATCCGGAGTTTGGACTGAGGAAGTGAAAAATGAAAAATCATTAAAGAACCACAGATTATTAAAGAAAAAATTAGCAAGTTATTTCCTCAAGAACTGCCATAACAACAACTACATGTCTTCTGACAAAAATCACAGATTGACCTTAATCAACAGTTTGGAGTGATGAAAATGTGATTCCTGTGGGCAGCATTGGTTTTGCACAGTCAGACAGAATATTCACACTGTTGGGACTAAGTTAGCTGTAGTGGAGCTCAGGTGTATTGTGTGTTTTGTCTTGGCCAGCATAGAGTGCAAGCGCTTCTTACCATCCATGTAAGTCAGTGTAGTGAGGAGGGGTGCGTCTGGGGAAATATAGGTTGTATATTGCAGATCTTCCATCAGAGGGGGCGTCAGCTGACCAGGAGTGAGTGATGTCATCATGGCTGAAGAGGCAGCACTTGGGCTGATGTGTTTCTTTTGACGAGCTCGACAGTTCTGAAACCAAACCTGAATGGAAGGAGGCGGAATTTATAACTCATCTTGAAAGTCAGATTCTCCCTTTCAGTTGCTATGGTGGTGCATGCTGGTTCTAAAGCTTTTTACTTCTTCTTTTAAGAATAAAAATAACGAAGCATTAAATGTACACTGGATTTCTCACTGTTAACATGAAAGCAAAGTGGAATTATTTATGTTCTATTTGGTGCTTTTCAACACTTAAAATGTAAACTTTTGCAACAATTTTGACTTTAATAGTAAAAAACAGCTTCATTTTTTTTCCAGCTGTTAAAAATTACACAGCAATGAAACACAAAAGCAAGGCCCCTAACGGCAGTACTATGTTTTCTAAGGAAATGTGGCATTTAATGAAAACTCAAAGGTCTTGCAAAAAATGCTGCTGTTAATTAAATTCTGTCTTTGTAATCTAGAATGTGTAAGACAGGCGGTAGAACTGTCAAAATGTTAGTTTCATAGACTTATTTCAACTGACAAAGAATTTACATTTACATTTTCAGTGCACTGATACACAAAATATGTCTGCTTATCCTGCAGAGCCTAACTACAGGCCTGCAGTCCTACAGCTTCATCTTACAGAGCAATCATTCTAACTGGATTTATCCTGACCCACTTGCTGAAGTCAGAGTCTCAAATGGAGTTTTAGAAATGACTAATGATAATGAGAGCAGTGCTCCTCAAGGCATTAACGGCTGTTTAACCTGAATAACCCTGCGGCTGAGACCAGTCCTCTCTGCCAGCTTCTGCAGAGTCTGGGCATCCGGGTTGTTATCTTTGGCAAACTGGGTCTGCATCACCTGCAGATGTAGAGATGACAGAGGAGGACATTTACATGACTGAAATTTGAGACCAATTTGATACCGTTACACCAATTTTACAAGAAGTCATTACAGAGGATGTGTTTCTGTATGTGTCTGAACACTTTACATAACCTGCCACTAGAGGGCAGGAAAACATCAAAACAAACTGTTCAAACCTCACTGCTTCATACTTTTGTTATGACTAACTTTACCACACATTCAGCAGACACAGAGCAACAATCATTTGGAGTCATGCTGCTGTTGCCCTGACAAACCAAAGTCAACATTAACCCTCCTTTTAACTTTGTTTTGCAGAAATATGCTGAAAAATGACTTGACTTTTTACATACATGAAAAATTGATGTATATATGTACTCATTTCTCTCTACTAGCTGTAGTATAATGACATGAAACTAACAGGAAACAGCAACAGTAAGCCAGTGGCAGGGCTGAGTGTTTACTGAGGCAAATAGTTTGATCCTCTTGTTTCATTTATGACTCCTATAGGTGGCAGTACCTGACCAAACACCGTAGTGGAAGCGGCTCAAACGGACGACAGTCAGAAGGAAAAATGTCCCAGTAGGTGCAGCAGCAGTGAGCACTGACAGTACCTGTAACTGGTCCACAGTGAAGCTGGTCCTGGCCCTCTTAGCAGGCCTGGGCATGGAGCTGGAGTCATCTTTGTCTGCCACCTCTTCCTCTACTTTTGGTTGCTCTTTAAGACAAAACAGGTCAACACATGAAAATCATACTGTCCCCATTTCAGATCAGGTTCTCCTGTGCAGAAACGTTTGTGACCAGGTTGTGCTTCAGTATGTGTGTGCTGACATTTTTTCCATTTACTTTGGGATACAGAGTGGCAATGCAAACATCTGCCTGTATTGCTATTGAAAAGGAGAATGTTGCCATATAACTGCTGTGTTGACTGTCTTATTTGACTGCAAAGCATAAACAGCTCTGGTGATCAGAACTGGATGGGAACCTGTTTTTACTTTAAATTCTTAAGTGTCTAACATTGGTTTTATAATCGTCTTCCTGATTTTTGTGTGACGTCATTCATGCTGAACTCTGCCCATACACTCACCATTCTCCTTTGCTCGTTTGAGATTCTCCATCATAATTTCATAGTGCGGTCGGCAGAAAACCCTGTTCTCCAGGAGTCCACATTCCTCCCCAGTAGACAGCTGGCGCTTACAGGAGGTGCAGGAGAAACAGGCCAGGTGGAAGGTGCTTCCTCTGGCCCGACGCACCCAGTCGCTGGAGTGGATGTTACGGCCACAGCGAGCACAGCGGGTCCCATACCTCCTGAGGAGCAATGGGAAACAGGAAGTGGAGAGGATGAGTAAGTTCTTATGTTTAGTTGAGTCACAATTAGGTGATTATTCATTAAAACGTGTCTCAAATGAAAGTACGTGTGATAGGGTTGAACTTAAATGCAGATTAGTGTATAAACAGAAAATTCTTTTTACAGAAACATGTACATTTTGAATCAGTAATATTTCCCTTCACAATAAAACGGAGCATACGGTCCTTCTTATCCCCCCACAGTAAGGCAGATATGCCATGTTTCTGGACATCACGTCACAGCTTAGTCCATGTAACAGCTGGTCCCAGTCTTCAATTGGGATTTTTTATGAGTCATAGGTGTTAATGTCCTATTCGGAGGCTTACTAATCCCATTGTTAACTGTTAGTCAAAATAAAAACAAATGAAAATGAACACACAAGTTGCCAAAGTGAATGAATAAAAGACGCAAAGCTGCGGACTGTATTGTCTAAGGTGGAGATGTTTATCAGATTATGCAAAATGCCCACAGCTCTGGAACAAAGATTTTAAATTCATACTGTACCCTTCAATTTTAATTAGATGCTGTTTGTTTTAGAGCTCTAAGTTCACCGATTCCCATGAGAACAACTCTTAACGCAAAAAACACCGGAGAGACGAGTTTTTCCTTTTGAGCTCCAGCATTGCATGGCATTACTGAGTTTTTTTCTGACATTTTATACTCTTCTGTTTTCGGGATATCGGCACCTACATACCTCAGAGACAGTGCTCATGTTCCCTTATTACTAGAACGTGAAATAAAATATTTTTCTTCCACTGTGTTTGAAACTGTAAATCAACAGATCTCTATTATGACTTCAGCGTTGAATCCTTGTATGTAGCAGCAGCATGAAATGAAAAAATGAAAAATACTTTATTTATCCCAGAAGGGAAATTCAATCATGTCACCACTGTTCTCCTTAATTATATGGTCTGGCATTATAATGTTAAATCCAGGTAGCTGTACAAATACATATGTAGCATCAAAGGCTTTTATTTTCTTTTTCCTATATTAATCGAAAATATATGTATAATCATGAAATAAGCCTGAACAGACCTAAGACGTTGGGTTTGACTTGCCTGAAGTAGTCGAGTTTGCAGAAAACCTGTTTATCTTTGATGTAACAGCTCACGTGTCGCCCCAGTGACGTCTTACATACACTGCATGAGAGGCAGCGCACGTGCCAGCACAAGTTGTTCACCTAGAAAAGATGAGATTTTAACATAAAAAATAAAATAAAATAAAGCTTCCAACTATTATTTTACGCATCTCTCAATTGTACATATTTGTATCCTCATAACTAAAAACAATAAAGGTTTCTATATCATTGGTAATTCATTTGCTTTACTGATAAGTGATCATTCATTATAGTGTTCTTATGAGATAGTTATAATACTCATGATATATATTAGTCTTATAATACAAAGGTTATTTAAGTTTGCAGCCAGTAATAGAAGTACTTTTGCTATCCAAATTATTTCATTGCAAATTTGTAATACACGAAAACATTAATATGCAGCTTAAAATTTATGAAACATATGCCCCCAATTATAGGCTGCATCTTTACAAAAATAAGCTGCATAACTTACATTTCCAAAAAAAAAAAAAAAAAGTCCAATTCATTTAATGCTGAAAAAAATGAAAATTTGGCAGAAATGTCAAAAGTTTCAACCTACTTTTAGTACACTGAAATAATATTATAAAGTATAACATTTAGGAAACATGTTCTCAATTACAGGCTGCATCTGAGTCATTTCTAAACCAGAAAAATAAGCAAAAAAACACTTTTAAAATAGATAATACAAAGTGAAATCATAGGGAAAAAAAGGGGGTTAGTTTGCATACAGCTATTTTTTTTTAAAAAAGAAGAAAGAAAATAAAGAAACAGGTCAAAACTGCACATACTGCACATACTGTCTATATCAAAAATCTGTATTTTTCCCAATTAGCATTTTGTTCTTTTACAATGTGTGGCTGCAAAATACACTGTTTTATTGTATTTAAATGCATTTTAAAAACAAATAAGCCATTTGTTTGATTGCTTTTACAGCTTATGAACATTACAGTGTTCCATTTTTTTAAAAATGTATTTTTTCTAACACTCCTGCTGCAAGATTGCCTGTTTTTCAGTGCTTTTCTTGTACAATACAAAAAATTTGAGCATTAAAAGTTCAGTAAAATCACATCTTTCTAACTGGCTGACCTTCATTGAGAAGACAATGTTTGTTATTGTTGATCTGAGACTCACACATATTTACTCTTCTGTGCACTTTATTCAGCTTGTACAGTTTTCATTTATTCAGTTTTTTAGATTTTACATTTTTTATTATTTTACTTTTGCCAGTGAAGCACTTTCAATAATTTGTGTATGATAAGGTGCAATATTAATAAACCTGTTTGCTTGTGTGGTCCTGATCCACTGAGTGCAAAGTCAACAAACTAAAAATGTTGAAAGCAGCAACTACAACCCAGTCTCTGGGAAGCTGGCACAGAAACCTCTCAACATAGAAAACTGGAAGTATTTATGAGCTTCTGGGATTTTCTTTCCTATAATAACTAAACTGCAGTCTTGTGTTCTCTGTTGTTGCAGTGCGGTGACATGAGGGGAGTCTGACCTTGAGCAGGTATCTGTCCACGATCTCCAGGCCGCAGGAGGTGCACAGAGTCTTCCCCTGCAGGGAGGCCGCGGCCGGGACGGAGGACAGGGAGGACGAGGACAGCGAGGACGGAGAGTAGGAGTCCTCCTCGAAGATATCATCCGGCCCGGAGGAGCCCTGTCACAGAGACACGTTATAAAAACTGTTTGTACGTTAAAAATGAGGTCTAATTTCATAAGAAGTCAGGGAGGGAACACTGAAATTATTATTTTAAACTAGCTTTCATTCTGTTTGGCTAGCTCTATAATTACATTTTACTTATTATTTACTCAAGGGCTCAACTTTCTGAAACTTTAGGGGGAGATAAAAGTTTCTCTGTTTTTTTAGGAGACCTACTGTGTCGATAAAAATGTGTCCCTGCTGCAGCTGAGTGAAAACAGCCTCCGTCTGTCGCCCCTCTCCGTCCGACATGGTGTCAGGAACCCGTCCGGAACCTCACTGAGCCGCGGCTCGGCGAACATCCCATCATATCTCCATGACAACCGAACACCGATAATAATCACAGAATACCTGCTCGGACTTTCTATCGGCGCGTCTGGGACTTTATTTTATACGTATGTGTGTGTACGGGCCCGGTGTGCGGTGTTTAACGGATTATTAATAATATTTATGAAAAATTAAAAATGGCTGTTTAATTATCACATCCTGTCTCGAGACCTGAGGGACGGCGGCCTCGCGCACACCTGAGACTCATCTGGCTGATTGTGTTGAGGGACGCACGTGCGCGTGATGACGAGCCGCAGGTGCGTCTGAGCTTCACCTGCTGAGGTCACGTGATCAACACAGACTGACCTGGATGCTGTCAGTGTGTAGAAAGTGTTAGACTGGAGCAGAAGTCTCTCTGAAACACCTCCAGGAGTTTATAAATGAATTCACATTTCTAACCTTTATTATATTTTCATTTCTTAACCCTAATCTATTTCTGCATTACTTGTCTTGCTTCTTGGATGCCTCATTTGTATCTAAGCTGCTGTTTATCTTCTCTTAAATGAATCACTGATGGGAAAAGGTGCACTTTTTAAAAGATCACTCCCCCAAACAAAAAGACACATAAGAAGAAGAGAGTTGTGGTTCACAGAAGAGTGGGACCACCTGTGTGTCGGCCCAGCAGGGACACTATTAGATCAGAACAGTTGATCTACAAAAGAATGCATATTTGAAAGCAACACAGATTGTCACACTGTCTGACTGCATTGTATGTTATCCTATTATGTATTGAAATGTCATCATGTTACTGAGTTTTGTTTTGTTTTTTCCTTTACACTATAAATCCATGCAGAAGAGGATCAAACTGGAGCACAGAAAGTCACCATTACATTAACCAAATTACAGACTTGATCAGTTTCTGTTTTTATTTGTTAACTTACTGATATTAACTAGTAAACTCTTACTAGGGAGCCATTAAAAATGTTTGACTTTAAACTATTTTTACTGTATATAAATTAACAAAGGAGTTGTTTGTCTACAGATACTTGCTGTTATTTGAACAGAAAAAAGCAGACATCAGACGTTATTTTACAGATTTTTCCTGTTTTCTTTAAATGCTGACAATATCTAGTAAAATCCCAGAAAAAAAAAGGTATTAATTTACATGATGACTGTATTTTAATCAGCTACAATTGACATTATTTAACAGATATTTGCTGCTATTTTCACAGTTTTTACATTATTTGAATATTACAATACTTCACACCTTTTTTTAACTTAATTTTTCTGGCACCCTTGTTGCCACATTTTTGTTATTATTATTTTTTTTTTTAAAATCTTTATATATATGTAATGTTCATTAGCCTGTTTCAGACTCTGCTTGAATAACTGCCAGTTAGGCGTTGCCTCTTCTAAAACTACACGACACAAAAACATGAGAGCATTAAAAACTGCATAAAGTCCCTTTTTTTTTATAAGTGCCCGTCACTAAAATAAGAATGATTTTAATTCCACAAAGTGTTCTGAAATAAGCAGCTTATGTTACAGTGAGCAACATCTCTTTAGACGAGAGAATAAAATATAAAGCTAAAAAATTCCTTTCTATGACTTGTGCATATTTACTCTTCTGTGTTATTGAAATTGTCTGTATAGGTTTTGCATTATTCAGTTTAATCAACTTAACATGCTTTATTATTTTACTTTTGCCTGTAAAGCACTTTCAATAATCTCTGAATGATTAGGTGTAAGGTTTATAAACCTGTTTGCTTGTGTAGTCCAGATCCACTGAGTGCAAAGTCGGTTTACTTTTACTAAGTTTCTACGGCATGATCATTGAAGCTGACCGAAAACAAGAATAAAGCACATAGCTGACAAAAACACTGATTACATCTATTTACCAGGTACTGTTGCGCTTTTTCAAAATAAAAGTCATCTACTTCTTGCATGTTTTTTTTGTTGTTGGGGGGAAATGACCCATGCACGTGTTCTAAATATTCAGGGGGTAATATCTTTTCCCTCAGATTCTACACCGATGTCAACAAATAGCCGACAGATTCACTTGCTAAACACAGATGGCCTACAACCTCAGTGCTGCCACTTGTAATAAGGTTTGGGTGTTAAAGTTTCCTTACTGTAGCTTGTCTTATTATTTGTAAAAGTACAGAGTGGCTGAAAGGAACTTCTGTTGCAGCAGATAGGCCAACAAATGTTTCTGATCTCCTCAGTAAAAAGATACATAAACCAAGCAGTGGTAAACTTATATAAAATGAGTGTTTGTATGTCAGCTCAAACTGTTTTGGAATTGCAAAGAAAACTGTAGAATATATGGCATGAGAACAAAAACTAAAAGCAAACTTTTTTCAAATTTTAAATCGACCTATTCCTCCTTTAATGTCTTCCTACTCACCACGCTGTTGGAGACGCAGTTAAACATTTTCTCGGAGCATCCCCGTCCACACAGATGTTTGTACTCCACAGCAGCACTGTTATTAGTCCTCTGTACTCGGCAGCCTCACTTCTTGTTCCTGTGACTTGTGTCCTCTCACCACCTTTTGTGAGAGCCCGGCTTGTTTTTTCTGGGCATTTTAAACATCCCAGAGCACCTCCCTCCCCCTGTGGAGGCCTGCTCGGACCCGCCTGCTGCAGCATCACTTAAAAGTTCACATTTGTATTGTGAGGATCGGATGAAGCGTCGTTTTTTCTTTCTGAGCCGGTTGTTTATATCAGCAGAACAAGCGTCCAAGGCCAAATTAGAAAGTCGACAAAGCAAGAACCTGCAGGGGACCCCCAGATGTTCAGGAGCCCAGATATCCAGATGTAAACTTCAAATTAGCTCCTCCATATTATTTTTGTTCTATCAGAAAAATCAAAAATGGCATCAAATTCTAGATCAGATCCTTTTATCCTGTTGTTTTGAAGCTAGACAAAGTCCTTTTAATGCATCACAGGATGAGTGCAAGACTTCCACTTATAATTAATTAACTGCCAGCTTATCTGACAGCTATTTCCTTTAACAATCTATTGTATTTTTTATTGCATAAAATGTCAGATTGTGCAAAAACATTCTAACAAAGTCAAATTGTCTTTTTATTGATTGAACTTTCAGAGAAACGATTCACATTTAAAAGGAGACTCTTTCACATTTTTGCTTAAAAATGACTCAAATGATTATTAGGTTATTAAAATTGTTTCCAGTTTTCTGTTAATCAGCTAATTCATAAACTTATCTGGTTGGTTCCTGGATTTAATTTTCGAAGTTTAATTTGTTGTTGCGGTAAAACGTGTAGCTCAGGCATAAATTAAAACTCAGTGAGCAAACATTAAAGACCCACATGTTTCACAAACACTGCCGTGCTTTAAGAAAATCCTCCAGAAATGTCACCTTTCAAAGCTCCTTTCCTGTGAGAGCCTTTGAGGTTCAGTTTGCCCGCTCTGACTTTATCAGTTCTCTGCATCTTTTCCTTTCTTTGCCTTTGGGGACATTATAAAAACAGCGCAGGTTATATTTGGGGACTGACTTCTATTTATTTAGACATCCACACTGTCTGACCAGCAGCAAAAGTTGTTGATTTAATCCTTCAAACCTGCTCAGAGTACATTAAAACAACAGTTTCATGAATTGAATTACCTGCGACTGAGTCCAAATGTATTGAAGTAACACTCTGTGCCTTCATAGCTATAAATAAATACACACATTCTTGCAATACGTTGCATCATTTCCACAGCAGCTATGATATAAGACTTTCTAAACACAAATTCATGTGTGTGTATTTTCTCTATTTAGCAGTTTTATCCTCCGTCTCTTTAGGAAAGTGAGCAGCCTGTCAGACGTTAAGTGAAGATGATGGCGAACCAAAGACTGGGGTCAGAAAGGCCTGAGTGAAAACATTCTCAGAGGGCACTTTGTGAATGGAGAGGCAAGAGGCTGGGTCAAGAATCCCTCTGGGTCTTATCTGTGCATATGAAACCCAAAACCTCGCCCCCTTTAGCCGTCTACAACTGGCTCTTAAAGATGGAATTTGCGGGCTTGATGTGTGGTGCTGAGTGTGTTTAACCTCCAGCAGAAACGTGTAAAACGTGTTTTTAAATCTAATCTGAGAAGTGAAAGAATCAGCACGGCGAAAATGGTCACATTTATAAATTAGACCCTAAAACAAATCCTGATGTTGGACTTATTAGGCCACAGAAAAACCTGTATTATAGAGATATTGTTTTTAGTAGAACATATTCTCAAGAACATATGGACGTATTGAACACAGCACATGGCACACGGCATGAACGTCGAATGAATGACTGTAGCCATTTTGAAGGATAAAGTTTGATCTAAACTGCCTGTAAATTTGGTAAACATGTCTGCCCTTCTATGTCAATCATTTCTGTTTTATTGTGTACTTCATCTTTTGCATTTTTAGATTTTTCCTATTTTTTCATTTCTCACAGTTTCATTCAACCAGTTTTGATTATTCTATGGAATGTATCTGCACTTTGTCAACTCGTCTTTACTGTTTTTGATTTATTTGATTTAAATAGTTTTTTTTTATTATCTTTCCTATGTATAATTTTTACAAGGTGTGTTATAAACCTGCTGGCTGGAGTATCCCTTCTGACACAAGATCCTGAACAACTGAGTGCAAAAGTCAATTGTTTGTTTGTTTGTTTGTTTGTTTGTTTGTTTTCAGGTGCTTTTGTACACAGTTTTTCTTCTTGTCATTCTGTGCAAACCTCCATATCCTTCTAAGGCCTAAATTTTCCAATTATTTTTGTCTTAAGCGTCGTCTACACATGCTCAGGTATTATTTAAAAGGTATGTTTTCTATGTTTTTTTTTTCTCTTAATTTTATGACAGATGTGTCCAAAACAGTGCTGGTGCTAACTTTGCTAACAGGACTTTATGTTACATTTAAATGTAAGTTACTCCTTCACTACATTGAGTAACAGAGGAATCAATCCACTTCCTAGATGCACCAATACTGGTTCCCTATTAG